TCACATCAACTGATTGCTAGTAAACAGACCATTTTGCATCCCTTAACTTTAGCTGTGTTGATTTTTGAGTGTTTGTTTTAGCATAATACTACGAAAAACAATGTTTTGTTTATTCTAGGAGATGGGCTGAGGTGCATCTGCGTAGACTCTCAGTCTTTTTAGTATTTTGTGTTTCTCTCAAGTACCAAACTAAATTATTCCATTTAAACAACACTCCGATTTGGTGCGAATTCAGTAAAAGCGACTCTCTTGGAACGTATCTCGTGTTATATCGACATTCTACTGTACCTATCGTCTGTGGTCTCATATTGTTTCACACAGAGTATGCACAGATACTTTTTTTTTAGCTACTGTACCACATTGTACCTCAAGCAGGCCATCCCAGGCACGACACATGCCTTGCGGAAACCGCTCTACCATGCCGTTGGATTGAGGGTGGTAAGCAGTACTGTTGTGTGGTGCCTGGAAGTGCCGAGGAACTGTAGGAGACTGTGCCAGAGTTGTGACTCAAACTGGGCTCCTCGGTCAGCGATGACAGTCATGGGAGGACTGAAACGGGAGACACAACCAGACAGGAAGGCGCGGATGGCTGACTCTGCTATAGCATTAGGCATGGGAATGGCTTCTGTCCACCTGGTGAAACGGTCAATGCAGGTGAAAATGTAGGTGTTGCCGCAGGATGCTGGAAGAGGTCCCACAATGTCGAGGTGCTCTACCTGGAGGCGTCCTTTGGGTACAGGAAAGGTTTCTAAGGGAGCCCGTGTGTGCCGATGTATCTTAGAGGACTAGCAGATAAGGCACTGGGCAGCCCATAGCCGAGTATCAGCCTTGATGCCGGGCCAGACGACATGTTGCGTGAGAAGGCGCTGGGAGGCCCGTACACCTGGGTGGCTGAGACCATGGATGCGGTCGAAGATGGCGCAGCGGTGGATGTGAGGCACGAACGGTCTAGGCTGCCCACAGGACATGTCGCACCACAGCGTCACAGTGTAAATCGGCATATCTACAGTATATTTGTATGTATGTCCGGCCTATGCATTCGCGTTTAATCCTGCTGCAGAAGGAATATGTGAACTGGCACTCATACAAACGACTGCTCACACAGCACTTACACAATGTGTTTATACACCTAGTTCCACGAATATGGTGTTTCATGCACATCTTCATACTGTTTGATTTTTTCTTGACCAACTCAGTGTCATTTTACAATGCTTGGATGGTGGTAAGCACTTCATAATTCAAGGTTATTATTTTATTATGTGGCTTCAGACTACAGCTCCTCCCCGAGTTACAACCTACTCTACTAACGACCACCCGCATTTACGACCTGCCTCAGCAGTATCAAAATTTTGTCAAATTACGTATTTTCGAGTCCCAACGTCAGTACAGAGAAAATTTTCGCTTGTAATTCACTTTAAAATGGCTGGCAAGCTTAAAAGTGAGAGCTTTGTGGTGCTGAGAAAAAAAAGAGACACCCATTTTAGATTTTCTATGTATTATTTAAGCATTTTCGACTTACGACCTAGATTTGGGTCCCTAACCCCGTCGTAAGTCGGGGAGCAGCTGTATTGTGAACTCACCAGTAGTGCCCTCATAACCTTGCCAGCCCATATTTTTTTCCCTTTAATTTTAGTTTAACTTCAGATCTTTAATCTTTAAATGTTAATATTGCTTCCAGCAAACTCATTCTAGTATCTGACAATTTAACATTACTGGATTTACTTATCTCAATGAAACACAAACTTCTTCATTTGAAGATATTATTTTTCTTTGGGTTTTTGTGATTCCCAGTATTTTGTACCAACTTTCAGCCTCATTTTATCAATGTTATGTATGTTTTGTTATTACAGACATGTGTCTTTGAAAGTTACAATTGTACATGTTACAGCCCTGACATGTAAGTTATTTAAGACTAGGAATTCAGACTCTAAACCCCTGGTTGTAGATTTTGTAGATTCCTCAGTTTAGCTACAGAACATTTTATCTTTTGTAACATGGATAGGCACCCATAGGTATTATGTGATACTACGTGGTTAGTATACTCCTCTTAGAACTTGGAGGGTGCAAGCTGAGCAATGTATTAGCCCCTGTCTAACAGACAGCAATGCTTATATAAATATGGGTTACATACATTAGGTTTATATAATTACATCACCCACGGTAACTTTCTTATGAGCCGTGAGTCGTCATCAAGCGGACATGTGACAGTGTATTCCCACTATGCCCTCACACCTTGACTGCAGAGTCATCAATTAAGTAGCCGGCTATCGCCAGTTCAACTCCCGTCTCTGAGCCACTGAGACGTGTGCTCTAAGAAGTTAGATATACCCAAACTTTGTACATTATTAATGCTCACAGCTCATAGCGTTAATTACAGTGATATCCCAGTTATTGTGCAATAGTTTATTTTCTTAATAAATGGAGAAAAGACCATTTTGGTTTCAAAACTTAATCCATAAACATTTATGAATGTTGCTCCCAGTTCACCTCAAATTAGCGCTACCACAAGTAACCAGAAATTGCAACACTCATACACACGTACTGAAATATATATAAAGCATGCCAAAAAGTTTTTTTAATATGATAGCAAGTGTCCACTACCTTATAAAAAATGTACTTTTATTTTTCCTCCACATAGAAGTGACGTTTTCTTTCAAGCCATTCACCATTATAATGTGGAACGATATCAAGCATGAATAATGTACACCCACAGATTCTTTTTTTTTTTCCACTTCCACTCATTCATTCATTCCTGCTTTAACACAGTATAGGTGTCTGTCATGGTAAACTGTTTCCATAATGACAAATAACTACTGTACTGTACTTGATTAACTGAGTTACATCACCTCAGAATTCTTAAATAGAAAGTAATCAACCAGGGTTTCTGTGCCACCTGACCCATATGTAATCAGCCTACTCACCATCATTTTAAATAATGTACTGTATGCAGTATAACCATGGTCATTGCATCCCCAAACTTAAATCATCTTTATCCTTCCACATTCCTTGCACCATAGCCTTTTCCACCATTCACACCTTTAGAACCCTCAGTGTATATACCGACAAGACAGTTTTGGTCATCACCCAGTACTAATCTTCCACCCAGCCCCCACATTACAGGAATCAACACATACTTTGCTTCATCACTCAGCCCAATCTGTGGGGCATATGCATGTACAGGTTGTACCTCTCTAGTCCGGCAACCTCGGGACCTGATCGGTGCCGGACCATGGAAATTCACCCTTTTCCTGGATAGATAGTGACTTGTGCATACACTTGGAAGCACTAGCACCACTTTCACTGCTTCGTGGTCTCTTTGAAGACATATTGAAGGGTTAAACGTTGTACAGTAGGTTCTCAAATTTCGCGAGGTTTTAATTCGACGTTTTTTACTTGGACACAAAAAAAAAAACACTGCACAATTTAAAATTTCGACGGTGGAAACTCAAATTTCGACGGGTTTGAGCAGCCCGCCAACGTTCAGACGTGCACAATTGTGTAAACAGCATCATTTCTCTATGTACAAAACATTCATTATTGTTTATTATTGAATGTCTTTTTGATTGAATTAATGTTTATGCGTGCAAAATGAACAATGCAATTCATTAATAATACGTAGAATATTAAAACACACGAGGAGACGAGACAGCATTGTTTCGTTGTTTACAAAACCAGTGACTGACTGGTTCTGCATATAAAACGAAGAAAAGAAGACCCTGGTTGTAGCTGTAGTAAAATTAATATGGTTGTTTTAAGTAATGTTATTTAATGTTAATAAATGGAACAATGGAAGGAGCTAACCATTAATGGTAAAAAAAAAGTGAGATCGCGTATGTAAGTGAGCACATGTGAAAACATATCGTCATTACTCTACATAAGAATATGAAAGCAACACTTATTTACTGTTCATATATATTTTAATTAATGTTTCTGAATTTAAAACAAAAATTCTACCCACCAGTGGTGGTAAAGTTGAAAACAAAGACAGCCAATGTTGTTGTGTGTGTTTTTACTCGGATGATGAAGTTGCCAAGCCATCAGGTCCAACTCTAGCTAAAGCTGTAGAACATAAAAACTTTTCTGTGTTGTTTTTAGTTTTTATTTAACTTTATCTGTGTTATTTTCATTGGTTTATTAGGATGTTGCTTTATTACAGGTAGTAATTCGCCAAAAAAGTAGGGTAAATAAGGCCAAATTTAGCCAAACATCGAAAAGTACCAGACTCAAATTAATTTTCTCCATGGGCAAACTAAAATCGTTTCAGACCACAGAAGTTTCCGGACCACAGAATGCCGGACTAGAGAGGTACAACCTGTATGACACTCAATAGATCTTAGCTAACTTAATTTACCAAGTGGTAATCTATTTTACAAAGCTGTAATACTATAGTCCTTGGCATGCATACCTGTGACAAGCAGACTGAGGCTTTCAGACAGTTTAGTAAAAAATAACCTAGCTTAGGACTGACAGTTCCAGATAGAATGTCAGAGTCTAATAAAATGTTGATGCTATAATGCATTACTATGCTTTAATAACTAAAGTCTTTGTGACTGTACCCTATGTCAATTCATACTCTAAACATCAACATTTAAAAATTAAGAGAGAGAGACATCTCATTTAAACAGTGGGGAGGGTGATGACAACGGTTTTCTGGAAATGAAACAAGGTACAGTATCCCATCCATTATATACAATGGTATCAAGTAAGAGATCCCAATTACTTTACCAGGACTAGAAAAGGGTGTAAAATGATATCACAGTAGTTGAGAATGATGGTGTTCTATGAGTAACACCTTCTAATCACCTTTCTCTTGATGAAACAACTCAAGGGGTGGAGCAGAAGGTTGAATTGGGATGTGTTGATAAAGAGCAGCCCTAACTCTCGCTGTTCTTGGGAAGACCCTTTATCAAGACAAATGATATGCACACATGTATAAACTCAAATACCTAAATATCAAGACAACAAAGTAATTACAAGTTTTTAGCTTAGTTATTACACACCTTGAAGAAGTGTTGTATTAGGACGCACTAAGAGGTGAATCCACTGCTGTACAATTTCAGATAGTGTGTTGACTTCACATCCAAAATATGCTTGACTTTCTGGTTTTGGGTACACAATGTATGCTTGGCTTGACTCCTGTTAAGTTAAGAGAGATCAACTTTATTTTACTTAAAAACACACTATATCCATATTCCTTAAGTTAAAACATGAGCAGCAGATACATTAATATCCCCCACTAAAATTTGAATATTTTCAACATATACTGACTGGTAGTAGTACAGGTAAACCACCGATTTTCCGGCACCCTTGGTTCCAAAGCCTTGCATGATTATCCGTTTTGCCGGACCAACCGAAGTCAGGTAATAAAAATTCAACAATACACCTCTAACCCACTAATTATACACCTCCTGTGTCCCTAAAGCACCATGGACTGCTAGAAACTTAAATTAAACAAATATTAAATGTAAATTAAATGTGAAAAAGCCATAATTTTGAGCAACACTACTGTACACAATTTGTACTCAAATGTACTGTACTAGACTAGACTAAAATTTTTATCTCTTGTGCAAACTATGTGCAAACTATGTTTTAGTCCATATAACACGCGGACTTTGAACATATAATCAACGACCTCACCAGCCAGGACTCGAACCCTCGACCTAATGCATGGGACCAGGGAACTCTACCAACCATACCACAAGAGCACTAAAAGCAGTTCTAGACTATGTGACATTTCACAAAAATCCTGTTCATCGAGCTGATGGCGCCGTGAACCTCTCATTGGGAACTGCTCGTGCTTCTTATGTGGATGTCAGTAGCATTTTACCGAATCCAGCTGGTATGAAACACGAGGTACCATGTATACTTCATTTTTAGTCCATATAACAGCTCTTGTGGTATGGTTGGTAGAGTTCCCTGGTCCCATGCATTAGGTCGAGGGTTCGAGTCCTGGCTGGTGAGGTCGTTGATTATACTATTTTCTATAAAAATGCCATTGAATTTCTGTATATGTCATGTATTTCATGGGGCAAAGGGAGGCTGGGGAACGTAACTCCCGTATTTTATCTATTTCTTATGGGAGAAATTGATTCCGTTAACGTTGTTTCCATTAACGTCGCGGTTTTCAAGAACGGAACCACGACGTTAAGCGAGGACTTACTGTACTTGTATCCGGCTAATCTCTTAGCTGTGAATAGGGCTTCCTGTCTTTCACTGTCACACTGTATATCCACCTCACCCTTCTCATTTTAGCTAGCTTAAGTCTGCATATGTCATCATCTTTAACTGTCCATACAGTAAACCCCCGCTTTACGCGGTTTCACTTTACGCGTTTCCACGTTTTCGCGGTACCCTGCCGAAACTGGAATGCTCACTTTCCGCAATGTGTGTACCCTTTTACGCGGAGAGCGGCGCGAGCAGGGTGTGCACAAGGTTGCCCAGCCATCAAAACATTACCGAGTTCTTCACCCGCCACCCACCACAGCCGGGCCAAGTCAGTGATAGTGATAATGATAGTGAGGATATGGACTTATATGGACTTTGAGGGGTTTGACAAAGAGGCCCTGCAAGCCTCTGTGGTGGATAGTGATACAATTGATACAAGTAGGTAGTAGGTGGTAGGTAGCTATCAAACAGGGAGGTACTACCACCTGGAAAGATATTGGAAGCATAATGTGTTGTCTAATGGTAGACCCTGCTGCCATATGGCATCACGAAAATTGTGACCAAGTCCCAGGTTGCTGATCTGACTTTCTGCCTCATTTACACTTAATTGCAGGGTCTCAATTGTTTCTCTTACTTTGACAACACAATATACATACAGTATTTCTCACTCTTGATATTTTTTCATTTTTTCTAAATTCATTTATGGCTCATTATTTTTATTTATAATTTTTATTAATTGTTATTTATTTTTATTAATTTTATTATTATTGTTATTATTGTTGTTATTTTATTATACTTTCGCCCCCAAGGCCTTGATGTGGGTCATTAAAAATGACCTGTGCCTGAGTGGGTTAATGACCGTTAAAAAAAAAAAGTGATACAGGTGAGGGCCAATAATCTGCCCTCTGCCTCAGAACCAACCCCCTATCCCCGTGTGCCCAGCCATCTTTTCTACTAATGTAAGTGTTAAAAAACCTAATATTATTGATATTTCTCTTAATTATTAATTGTGTGTGCATACCATCATAAAATTAAGAAGTTATTTTTACTACAACGTAGGTATTGTGTCTGAAAAAGTGGAGTTTGGGGGTCGGCCCGGTCTCTATTTCAATTAATCCCATATGTTATGTTGTTCACATTACGCGTTTCTCACTTTACGCGGGCCGCCGTGGGTTCAATTGACCGAGTAATGTGAGGGTTCACTGTATTTCGCTGCCATACAAAATCATAATTCTCATGCCAGTTCCATACATCTTTCATTTTAAGAGGAGGAAAGGCCCTCTTACCAATAAACACTTCATTCCGGCCAAAGTACCATAATAATAACCAAGTAAGGATATAAAAACAGTTAAGTCACATCAAAATGTAAGGTCTATTTAGTCAATGGGCACACTATGAAAAGAGACATCAGCAAGCTTAAGTCCCATGAGGGAAAACACATTGTGAGTAACTAATTCTCTTTATCATCATCTTCACCATTTCCATTTTTCACGCTGAGTTGCCATTACCTGATATATGATGAGATCCCAGTTGCCATCAGGCAAATTTTAAGTATATTTTACAACTTCCTTCCTAATCCTAACCTAACTCACTTTTACAGAGTGTAAACTAGGCATTGCTGTATATATGTATGTGCATATTAGTTGACCTCATCAGTAAGTCACCCCTTGTTTTTGCCCAAAAATCCTTAATATTTCATATACAGAATCTCATGAATAAGCTGACCATAACTTTGTGGGAAACCAGTACGCCTAGTAGAGCATTCGGGCCAACAGACTCTCTGTGAAAGGGGTTGTCATCCAGAACTGATGTGCTATGTTTAGACTGTTGAGCCTCTCATTGAAAGGCTTTCCACAAAGCTAGCACCTGTCTCTTGCTAACAATTCTTACAAAACTGATTCCTACAGATTTTTTAGTAAAATTCTGTTGGCTTTTAAGCATTGTTATTACAGTAACTTGGTTGGAAGCGATGTTTCCTCCTTTGAGAAAGTGTTCCTGTAACCAGCTTGAGTTAGTGAGTTACTATCTCCCAACAATTCAACACATCATTACAGTATATGAACCACAAGGATGTCTGATCACTTAGGATGTTGAAAACTTAATTAAATCAACTTCATCAACTCACAAGAATCAGTTATTTTACAGTAAAGAAATTCTTACCTTTTTAGATCTAAATCTAGACAATCCATGAAGATTATGCCGGACTATGATGCGGAAGGGTTGTAAAGTATTGCCGGGATCTGAACTGCTAAAATCAAGTGAAAAAAGCTGATAATGTACATTGATGCCAGACCAAGCGGGACAGTTTTGTCTCTGAAATTAAAAGAAAAACGTTACCATTTATTTTAAGTTCAACTTCAGTGTTCTGAGTGGCTAATGGCTAGTGCCTGAAGAACCAGCTGGAGAGTTGCATTCATCCAGATTATACTTGCCTGATTTTGGGGATCCCTTTAAGTCCAAGAAGGTGCTAGACATTAGTGTTATTAAGCCAAGTTACCTCCTTGATTATGATATACAGTGGTCCCCCGGTTAACGAGCGCCTCGGTTAACGAGATTTCGGTTAACGAGTTACCTTCCATAAGATTCTTAACTTCGGTTAACGAGTTTCTTACGAGCCGACCTCCACATGTTTTAGCTTGCATTTGGCGGTCCACCAGCTGTAGTATTAGTCCGCCAATACAGTAATCGGTTCTAAGGCTTAAATTCCTTACCCTTTTAGTAAATATCAAGAAGTTTATACTATTCAATAATTTAAAAGTTTAATATTAAATTTTTTAGTCATTTTAACAATTATTGAACATAACTGAAGGTAGGGTCACTAGTTTGTGGCACCCCATCCAGCCTGCCAACACAGCATACAGGCGTCAGTCTTTGTGTCTTTTCAGTGGAGGTAACATCTTGCTTGAGACTCTCTTCAACTAAACGCTTTTTTTCTGTGTTTACAAGTAAATTATTGGTCATTTTGAAATTTATTTCACATATTGACAATATATAATGCAGTGCAGTGTTGATTTAAAGAAAATAATCTTGAATTACACCAAGAAAACTAAAATTTTATAGGTGAAATGGCACCATGGGGTGACTTCTCTTTCACCCCAATGCCTTCTCTTCTCCCTTCTCCTCCACCCCCATTCTAATTCCCATCATCATCATCATCATCATCATCCAGGAGCCTTCTATATACACACCTTTCTACCTTTTTTGTTGAATTTAGGCAATTTTCGGTGAGCTGGAACCAATTACCCAAAAACCCATTGAAACAATGGTTTCGGTTAACGAGCAACCTTCTAGAACGGATTGTGCTCGTTAACCGAGGGACCACTGTATACCACACTAAGATTCGAAAAAAGTAACCCCACATTCATGAAAACTTAGATAACCTGATAATTAGGCCCCTAGTTGATTTCACCCGATGACTAGACACCATAACACTACCGGGGAGGGATTAGTTAGGTTAGGGTGTTTAATCTTATGGTGAAATATGTTGTGATTATTCTTAAGGAGATCTGAAAAGTCTATAATACAAACCTGCGTATGTTCTTGCCATTCTGTATGCAGTGTGCCTGACCAAGGTTTCTCAATATGGGATGTGGGTGATCCTTTGCTCTTCTCTAATTTTTGGGGATTTGAAGCTTGTGCTGAATTAAACAAAGACTCTTGCATGTCAAGTAGATTTTCTAAGACACCGCCACCACTGCTACATCCTGGAGGTTCTGTATATTTTGATTTACTGGAGTTATTTGGCTGAAGCTCCCTGGTATCTTCTCTTTTAATAGTTGTTTTTTGAAGACCAGACTCATTATTAATTTTTGAAGGATTTGAGTTCATGGTTTTTGATTTCTTTGAATTTTTATTCCCTTTCCTTTCTTTTTCAATTTTACCATAACTGGAACCGAGTTCATTGTGTGATTCAATTTCAATATTTTTGTCTTTTTCATTTTCTATCTTCACATCAATCAAAAGTGGATTACAGCTTTCGTCAGTGGAATTAGTTTCTCTTTTTACAACAGGTAGCAATTTTTCAGCTTCACTCGCTTTTGCCATTCCTTTTTTCTTTGGAGATTTTTCAGCTTCACTCGCTTTTGCCATCCTTTTTTTCTTTGGAGATTTAGAGATTGGAGACACAACAGCTGGCTGAGCACCAAAGGTATCATGATTTGCTGTAGATGTCAAGTCGAGGAAATCATCATCGTACTGGGTGCATTCAGTTTGTTCTTTCTTTTCATATTGAAAACCCAGTGGAGATTTCATTCTGTTGACAAGAACACATTGCGAGAAATTTAGTTTTCAATGCCTATTTAACAAGAGATATCTTGCGTAGTTATTGCCTTTAAATTAGAATGGACAGTGACAGGCAGAAATGAAGCAAACTTTAATGTATTCTGAGTGATTTAATTAACTGTAAAAATAAGAATATTGTGGGATGAAATGGCACGTTTGCAGGAGGCTCTCTACTTTCAACCATCCATATAAATAAAAATATTACAACAGGAAGACATATAGAGCAATATGTTAATGAACATAATCATCAAAAGTACACCTCACCTGAAAAAAGGCACTCGCTTAATCTCCGTCAATGATGCTAATGCAGATTTTTTATAAAACAACTGCTTCTTTTCCATAGGAGTCCAAGTTTTCTTGACCATTGGCTTGTCAATGAACACTACTCTGTGATTCCTTTCACTTCCATCAGCATCTGTTCAAAAATCCTATATTCAGTTAGATTACATTGATGAATGACACCTTTCACTTGATGACTTGTGAATTTCAGACATCATAGATTAAGACTTATTCATAAATCAGTTACGCTTCACCATCACAGTCAAGTTGTAAAAGGAATTATTGGAAGCCACAGTTCACTGTCTAAGGAAAGAAGCAATGAGCGGCACATCAGCAGACACACAAATACAACCTTCATCTGGCTTGGCCATAATGGGGATGTCAGCCTGAGAAAAACCATAGGCAGCGAGTAATTAGCATTAAAAAAGTAATTAAATCTTTTGAGATGTCATTTAACAAGTACAGTAGTTATGCAGATATCAAATTGCAGACAATAGACCATTAATCAGCATCTTCAGGAGTACACATTATGAACAAAATTGGAGAGATTAAGATTTTAGGCTGAAAACACTTTTTCTTTGCGAATTGAAATTTAATGTGTTTAACTACTTAAGTACATCCACAGTAACACATAAACTTCAAAATGTGACCTTGAAGAACCAGGGATGGAGAAACCATTGGTTAAAAATAAACTTAAACAAAATTGTTTTCTGGGGGGGGGATGATATTACAGTATGTTGGTTTCAATAAGTTTTAAGTATATTAAGTATATTTGTAGCCCTTTTTAAAACTTTCTAATATGTTATTTATCATAAACATTACATTCAGGATGATTTAGCAATCATTTATAGTCCTTTCCATCTCAAAAATTCACTGTCAAAGGTCAGATTTAAAAACACAAGCTTTGATCAGTCATCCTACATGATTAAAGGCAAAAACTAAGTTTAAGTTCATCTTAATGCATGGAGAAAACTATTCTACTTTTACAGTTGAAAGTTTTAAAGAATTCATTTAAGTACTCAGAGAGAGAGAGGTAACTTGGCTCCCCTGGACCCATATAATACATGATCTGAACACAGTAGTCAGAGACTCAAGAACCCAACCATAAACAGAAGCAGTCACCAGTTATACTGGACAGTGTGCAACTTGGCTCCCTTATAATCAGGATTTGATATGTGTGAAGTCCTGTAAGAAAGTTTATTATCACCACTTTCACCAGTGTATAATACAATAATTCACATTCATAACTATATTGAACAACCACGGGGACATAACACATCCCTGTCTAACACCCACATTTATTTCAAATGTTTCACTTTCTTTCCCATTTACACTTACTGTTGTTCTGCTGTTCTCATAGAATGCTTTTACTGCATTTAATAGCCTTCCTCCCACCTCATACAATGCTTTTCTGTTCACCCTATCATATTATGCCTTTTCCAAATCTACTATAAATCGTTAAAACTATCTGTAAGTAATAAAACCCAATAAAAAACATTAAAACCAAGAACAAAGGCATACCGGGTTAGATTAAAAAAAAAAATTGGTTTGGCTAAAATCAGCCAACCCTGATTGTCAGGTGTCATTACTTCAAGTCTTAGTCTAGACTTCAATCCGTCTGGTTAGTTCTAGTTGTTGTTCTCCTTCACCTTGATTAGAACACAGAAATTAGTGCACTTATCTGTTTTCAGCCTTAGTATCTCATGGTGATTCATGCAATTCTTAAGGTTTGGAGGCATATACCTCTGTTTTGATCATACTACAGTTCAAGGCTGTTCCTGTGTGTATGGTCCTGAGCTCATGCGTGGTGTTGCCATGGTCAAGCAATTTGGACTGTGTGAGGTAGCTTTTACTGTGCTACCAGTAAATCTTAGCCGTATCACTGTAGGCTATAGTATGGCCTCCATTTAGCATAAGAATACATGTACAAGAGTAGATGGATTCATGTAAAGTGAAATTAAAGTAATGAAAAGCAAAATATATCTGAGGAATATACCTTAAATCTTATAGCTATGGTATCTATTTCCCTGTTATAATTCTTTGATGACCTTGACAATGCATCACAACCACATATTCATTCATAAAACTACTCTCTAATTCTCTGCTTACCTTTTACAGGATATGACTTCACTTCAACAGGAATATCCCACTCCTTGTCAAAGTTTGGCCCATAATTGTCTGCTATGATCTTCAATGCACTGCTTGATATGACTATATTGGCTTCATGTTTCTGGGCCAGGTATGCAGCATTGTGATCTTTACTCACTGTAAAAATAACACATTTAAACACTTTTTAGATATCTGACAACTGATATAATAAATATAAACTTGAGTGAATTAACATCCAACAATTAGATGATCCCATAAATGTGTGATAGATTATATCCTGTTTTCTATCCCAGTTGGGATCAGGTGAATCATGTAAGTCTATGGGGTTGAAAAGACAGATACCCAGGACCAAAAGTTTTATAAAGACACATGTTATAGTCATTTAGAGAAAAAGGAAAGAGTTTTCACTGTCACATAAACAAATGCACTCATACTACTTAAATATACTACTGAATGAATATACATACTGTTATTGCCGCTGGCTTCAGCTACACAGTGCTGGCTTTTGCTGCCTTCATCACCTCCACTCAGCACTGAGTGTCTCCCAGCACCTACAAGTATCACCTTACCCAAACGAAACTCAGGGACAGGAGTGTGAGTTGGTATGTTCACTACACTCGATGGGGTGGCACGATACTGTGTGCCAGAGGTGTCCCGAGCCCCTATCCATGGTCATAACAATGAAACGCTTGCTTTATGGCTGCGACGTTTACAAACATCTGGCGAGGTCACAGGTCGTGCGGCCACATGGGAGTCACAACACCTCTACAATCTACAAGGGAGGTCGCAGCGTACGTGGTAGGCTGAGAGATTTATGGGTTTGTTTGTGTAAGGTGATACTTGTGAACAGCATATTGGTTGAGGTGCTGGGAGGTACTCAGTGCTGAGTGGAGGTGCTGAAGGCAGCAAAAGCAAGCACTGTGTAGCTGAAGCCAGCGGCGATAACACAAACTGTACTGTAAGTGTAAGTAGCCACTCATTGTCCTTCATCTGCTACAATTAAAGAAAGTGCACTGTAAATATGCACTATTAACTCTAATTCTGTTTACGGAAGGGATTTTTCAACAATGTGACGATTGAAAGTACCCAGGAAGGAGAGCTACACATACTCATAAGGCGGACAGCCTTGAGCCCCATATAGTCCGACTCTGGGAAGTCTTGTTGTACATGTAAAACAACTGGGCATCTTGCGAAATGCTAAATTAAAGGTTCAAATTCCCATGGTGGGTCACGGCTGTTAAGATAGACGAACATTGAACCACAGCAACAAAAGTTTGAAACAACAGCACTCAATAAATTTTAATTTTTCATGTAAATATGTAACAGTTATTCCAACAAACATATGATAGCTTACCTGGAGTTTTGTAAAGGATGTCCTTAAGGTCTTTTTTCTTATCTACTGCTGGAGGTTGCTGTATTGATACAGATTCATCTACCAAAAGTTTGTTTGCAACATGGCAGTTGGGGATTTTTATCCATGGTATGCTTCCCTAAAAGAAACATTAAGAATGGTCATATAATTCAAAACTGTAAGATGCATGAAAGATGCAGAGTGGCAGGTGTGGTGTGTAGAGGGTGACAAACTACCTCATGGGAGGGACGGGTGGAACAATACATTTAAGATGAGGACAGAGAAGGGAATAAAAGAGAATAAAGGAGATCTGTAGTGTTAGAGTGGCTAGGAGGTTTTTCTGTCATGAACACCTCCTCAAAGGGGAGTTCCATAATATTATAGATATGGTAAGAAGCAGTGGCATGTTTTTTTTGTTTGTTTTTTTATACTGTGTTGCCTTTTCCCGAAGTAAGAGAAGAAAACCTAGTCAGAATGTACAACAAGCTAAGGAATGCATTCCTAATCATACAACCTTTAGCTATGTAAAATCATCCCACCACCAGATTTTGATGATTTAAGTATACTCAAGTCACACTATTTCACACAGGGAGCGCTGACCAAGTATTTTATCACATCAAAGTCATTTGTTGAGTATTTAAAAAAAAAATTCATTGTGTTGTAAAGAATTCAATTAAACAATTTAAATCTTTAATATCTTCCACAGCAGAAAATAAATTAATAAACTGTAAGTGCCAAAGAAATTTTATTGTCAGATTTAAAATCAGCACCTCAAAATTACCAAAAGGAAACTGCTCTCAACCATGTTACAGATTTTTTTTTTAATTTGTTGCCTTGTGTTATATACCTCCCGTGTCTCTAAAGCACCAGGACTGCTAGATACTTAAATTAAACAAATGTTAAATGTAAATTAAATGTAAAAAAGCCACAATTTTGAGCAACATATTACTTCACACACTGTACTCATATGTACTAGTACATTAAAAGACTAAAATTTGTATCTTTTGTGCAAACTATATGATGTTTATAATCAAATTTATCACTATCTTACAAGGATTCCAGCAATGTAAGTTATATTCTGCTAAGTTTAGTCTGTTACATTCTATAATATAAAAACTTTAAGCCTAAAACTACCTTCACCCTGGCTGGGAGGGAGGGAAGCTAAGTGCCCTCTCGCAATTTTGTCCGGACTAAAGGAGGTGCCGGACCATCAGTTCCCGGAAAATCTGTGGTGTACCTGTACTTGCTTTTGATACCCTAAACACAGACTGTCACCCGCTTGTCTCTGAAGCCAGACACAAGCATATGTGTTTTGTTGACAGGGGTATCAGGATCAAGCTGCTGTGGATCCCCTCTCACATAGGCATCAGTCAACGTGACAGAGTTGATGCCTTAGCTAAACTTGCATTCAACAATGACAATGTTGAATACAATCTAAGACTGGGAAACAGAACCTTAAAAACTGTAATTAGGAAGAATTTGTTGGTGAATTTGAAGCCAGTAGACAAGTGCAAACAGGCATTACCGGTAGTTAATCCAATGTTTACCACAATATGGATCAAGTAAAACCTGTACAGTATATGGACCAAGTAACAAGATAACGTGATTACAAGAAATTGTTGCTTCTAGACTAAGGTTAGGATATAAGTACCTGAGGCAGTATGCCCCTCAGGCAGATGTCAACAAAACTAAATGTAAATTGTGCAGCCAGACATATGGCCACACACTGTGTAAAAATATAACCGTTTAGGGACAGATCCAAGCCACTGTGTATGCTATGGCACAGCACTTTATCTCTGATGGCAAGATAGCTGATACTGTACTGTATGCTAAAGCTGTATCCACACTTGGCATCTAGTACCTACCAGGAGGTAATTTCTATGTATCAACCAAGACAAACAATGTACACTGTAACATTCGATGCCATAATATCTGGACCACTGGGGTCTGATAAACACCCCCACATGATGTGTAGGAGGTGCACAATAAACAAGCTGCTGTCTGCAGCAAAATTCAAAATTCACCTAGAAGACTGAATTTATCATGATGGCCCTGCAGGATGTGCAAATATCAGGAGACTAATACAGTATACTTGAGCATGGGGTCATGTGAGACTTTCTTAGGATGTCTCATACATAAAGTTCATGACTGCATGGTTAAGTTCAAAGTCATAATAAAAAAAAATACATGTATATGCAGTAAAAATAAAATGTATAGGACATTTCTATATACTGGTAAATAAAATTACTACAGAATTCTTTAAATTTTACTGTCCTGTACATTAAGATAGAAAAAGAATAATCCCAAATGGTAAGAATATATTAATAAAAGTTGCTCACCAAACTTAACAGGTGACCAATGTGGGTAAAACATAAACTGTTGAATCTCTTCTTTGGGTCTTGTGGACAAATAGGTATTTGCTGCTCATCAACATATGAACTCTCATACTTGCAAGAACGTTTACATCGGTGCTGAAAGATAAATTAATGCATGAGAAATTCCAGACTACAAGTACAAGTATTGCATTTACTATCCTAATCTTAATGGTAATGCATTAAAGATAATACACATATTAGCAAGTGATCTTCTTTTAGAGAAAAATAAAATAGGTCCGAGATGTTCAATCCTAAGACCACACTAATAATATCTTCTTTAATTCATCTCAATTTTGTATCTCCCCATGAGTGAAGGATTGACCAGTCTTCCTTTTTCTTTAATCCACTTATTCATATTCAAGTTGCAAGACAAAAGAAGCAAATAACTTGATATGATCCAATGAGAGTATTTAAGTGAAAAAGGAAACATCTTCCTAGTCATCCCCTCCTGGGTGCTTTACATGGGATACAGCACCCAGGGGCAAACCCAGAGTACATCTCTCATCAAGATAACTGTGTAAGTAGAGGGGTATGGCTCAGACTGTGTGGAAAATGGATCAAAGGCCTAATTGCTCTCAGTGAATGAACCAATCCAGCATCAATTGATTGTCAGATCCCATGAAAGGTTCCTCTATATCCTGATACTGAACTCATAACAACACTTAATAATCTCTTGAAAGGGAATAATTGGTGCAGATCTAACTATTTCTAAGGTCGTGGCAGGACAGACTTTTCACCGAAGGACATTTGACCCAACGGACATTGAGCCTTCAGACATTTGGCCAAACGGACAATAGACCGAACTGACATTTAGCAGAACGGACATTTGGGCGAATGGACATATGGCCTTTTTAATTATTATTTTTTTCTTTCTTCTTTGCAATGTATTTGCTTTATAAAACACAGGATTATAGGGATAACTACAATAAATTTTTTATTTTGTTTTATTTTTTTCTATTTTTGCTATGTTAGATTTGTTAATTTCTTTCATTTTTATATCAAATATATATATATATATATATATATATATATATATATATATATATATATATATATATATATATATATATATATATATATATATATATATATATATATATATATATATATATATATATATATATATATATATATATATATATATATATATATATATATATATATATATATATATATATACTGTATATATATATTTTTTTTGTTAGGTTAGGTAATGCAAGTCCAGTCTTCGACTTTGTTTTTGTTTTTAGAACAATAAATTTGGCCAGTTGTCCATTCGGCTAAATGTCAGTTCGGCCAAATGTCCATCGGTGAAATATCCGTTAGGCCAAATGTCCATTGGCCAAACGTCTGTCGGCCAAGTGACCGGGAGCCTTCTAAAGTTGAGTATACAGAGCAACCTCATCCAACACCGAAAACAAAATAACCTGGAATTTTATTTCAAGAGCATACACCTACAGTACTGTACTAGTGTTACAGACTTATCCTAATGCCTCTCTTTAGATATCCAGATATTTATGTATCTGTTCCAGTCACCCATGTTAAGATTTCCTAGTCTTAGATGGTAATAGTGTTTGCATTGTCTGAGCCAGGCATTTGGTCATAAAACTTGAATTTGAGTAAGACAAATGAATGGCTAGACCACTCTATCAATGCATCATAAAAAGCATTTTGTACGATCTAAAACAATTCTCTCTTCATATTCAATTCAGCAGCAACAATCTTACTACAGGGGGTCCCCGGGATACGAACTGATTCCGTTCCTGAGGACGTTCCTAAGTCAGATATGTATGTAAGTCGGAACACATGCTATGTGCAGACTGTACTTACAGAACAATGTTTAAAATCTTACTATATTATAGCCCAAGCCCTTATATACATCTAAAATCAAATAATTTAAGACAAAAGAAGAAATTGAATGACAAAATACAGCAAATGAAAGTAAAAAGTAAGTCATCAGGTAAATAAAATCTGTAAATTTCTAGTTTAACCCCATTCGTATTGGCTGGCGTTCGTAAGTCGGGGACCTCCTGTAGCCTGACTAAATCTCCTTACCCACACATTCTTATCCTTACCAGTCATATCTTACCCAGATTTGTTGCCCGAAAGCAATTACAATCATGGTACTACCTGTACTGTAATCCTATACCTGCACTAAAATATGAGATGAGGTCTTATGTAGCTTGTTACTCACCTGTACATATTCATCTATATAATTAGTTATTACATCCGGAACTTTATTGTAAGCTGTCATCTGTAGCCTGGCAACCTGATGTGAGAACTGCATGAAACAATTCTGTTCTTCATACACACGATTTTGAAGTCTCTAGATGAAGAAAAGAATTTTTTTTTTATTATTTCTTTTATGCAAAATATGTAAATGAAATTTCTTAACTATCTCATCTAAACTTGACGACAACTCTAAATATCTGTCATGATATTAAATTCCATACAATAAAATTACAATAAACTATTGCAAAGTACTGTATTTTATGGCATATAAGATGCACTTTTTCTGAAAATTAGCTGTTCTAAGCTATTTATTATTTATGTCTCTGCCTTGCATTATTTTTTTAGCCTTCTAAGCCTTTAGTTTAATTAGATATTTGGTATATGACCTAAGCTGTTGCGTCACCAGGGATCCTTTTACAACAGGTATCTATACTAAATCATCAGCATACCCCAGTACTGTATAACAACTCCAAGAACAAATAACCCCTAAAATCGTGTGATGGTTTCTATAACACCGTGATAAACACAAGGGGCTCACAAACTGGGGAAAAACCTCTACTTTCATCTTATATTTCTCACTATGCCTGCCATTTTCTCTCAGAGATTGTCAAACCATCAAATAATGCCATAACCACTCATACAAGAGACTCCTCAACTCCTAACTTTCTCATTGCCAGTGATCAAAATATGTGCGACTTATAAAACTTTAACCTATAAGAAGGTAAGTTCTCACCAAGTAATGTTGATATTCAGCTGTTTCAGCAGCAGTCTTGGCAGCTCTGATCTTGAACTTAAGAAAAGCTCGAAGGTATGCCTCATGCTCATCATGAGTAAGAGAGGATTTATACGGGATCAAAACAGGGCACGGCTTCTTGAGAAAAAAGCAATGTTTGTTGAAGACACCGTCTATCTGAAAAAAAAATATATATACACAGTAGTTATAAAGCAAATTAACATCACTTTTACCAGTGACAAAGAAAACAAACTCTACATTATACTATACTATGATGAACAAGCTCAAATCAAAATGACATTGAGTCAAAGCCTATACAGTACTTGCAGACTCAAGCCCTCATCTCTGCAAACAAACAGCATTAAATAATAAATTTGATTTGGGTTTGCTGGTATGATTTTTAGCATTTTGTTCACGAGAAGACACTGAAATATTCACCTCTCCCAAGATATATTTAGGGTGGTAAATATGTTGTCCAAAATTAGTACAGTACATAAACTAAAGAAGGAATCAGACAACCAGCATATACCAACACATTATAACACAATGTGACCAACACAAAGGAAAGCCTGATGAGCACATGTTCCATAGTGCATAAAATTATGTAATTTATATACAGGTCCTGTACTAAATTAATTCTTGACAATAGAAAAAAAAGTACTTGGTCAACCTAACAGCCATAAAATTTCTAGAATTTGGGAAAAAAGAATTAATTAATGTGGGGAATAATAAAAATCCAAACAATAAAGTACGAATTTAAAACTGAACAGAATAACAAGGAAACTAATGTACATAAAAACATACTTCACTGTCCAATTTTTTTTTTATCTGATGAGCTACTGCTTCTTCTTTTTCTTTTTCCTTCTCCAACTCTTTCTCTGCTTCTCTCTCTCTCTTCTCCCTCTCTTTGTGACCCTGTAATAAAAATCAGATTAAGAAGTACCTTTTATGTACTTTTTTGGGCTATCTTTGAAATTACAATATATTATGAGTACCTTCAAAGAATATACAATAGTAAAAACTAGTGTTCTTACTACAGAAATGAAAACATGAGTCAACATTTAACAACCAAGTACTGTACATTACAATATACAACACAGTGTATATTTTTCCATATCAAGACAATTTATCATAAGTTTTTGTAACTAAATATAATGGGGAAAAGGGTGAAAATTTTTCTAACAAGTCTATGCATCAAACCTAATGCTCCAACACCAGTCTAACAGCATTACATAAAAAGTGCAGAATTATAAACATGTAATACTATATTCTAGCGAAATTTTCTACAGAGGAAAACTTCTTTCTTACTTCACAAATAGATAGAAATGGGTGGAGGAATTGTAACTTTCCTACTTTGGGTTTTCCCTTGTCTTTATTGAGCATGAATGCGGTGCATGCCGCTTAGGCCCTCTTGTGCACCTTTCTCCTTATGTTGACTATATTTAAAAAACAAACTAACCCCATCCAACCTACCTAACATAACCTTAAATAGATAACAAAATAAAATCTCTCAATCCTTGGAAATTAGGTTAGGTTAAGTAGGTCTGGTTGGTTCATCATCATCATCATTTTATGGCCATTTTCCACACTTGCATTGGTTAGTTGCTATTATACCTGACGACAGCTGTTGGGTAAAACAATAAATCATTATCATGAAGTGTTTTTGCAGAGTAATGTCACAGGTCACTTGTTAAAAAGTTTAAACCTAAACACTAGAAGTTAATTTTTGTCTAAAAATAACACTACAGTACAGTACTGTACAGGACAGGTACTAGTATGTTTATATTTAACACAAGAAAGATTGTGTCTAAAAGTAAAAAGCACAAATCCTTTCTCAGAGCATTGTTTTCATCCTCTTACCAGAAGTCACTGTCACGAAAGGATTTTTTCACTGAGGAAATTCTATGTCATTTCATAAAGAAAAAGATCTATTCATGCTTATTATTTACTATCAGATATGTACTTTACCTTTGCTATATCATTCCAAACATCATCAGAAAATTGTATGATATTAGAGACAATGGGCTCTTTGGTGACATAGTTGGGGATACAAGGGCCACCTGAAGCAAACAGGCTGCAGCAATCTTTCAGCACTGCATAACTTATGAAAGGATCATCTGCAACCACTGGATCAAATCCTTTCGATTTTTGCCTGAAAGACAGAAAAATCATGGGCGGTCCTCGGTGAATGAGATGCATTCCTTATAAAGAATTTGTTAAGTGAAAATCCGTTGAGTAGTAAAAGATATTTTCTGATGCATTCCTATGAAGTAATTTTTTGTCTCACTGACTAATCAAACTAGTAACTAAAATACAATAACATAATCACAAAGTACTGTAATTGAATATAGAACATGAACAAATATTTAAATTAAATCACCAAGAAAACATTTACATTGGGTCCCTGTTTTTCTTCATGAATTCTTTTTCTTTTCTCCTCTTTATTACTGGTTGGCTCTAGCCGGTTGATCGGTTATTTCTATTGTGCACTGTTGGTAATTACTGAACTAGCTCTAAAATGTACCCAAACATACACCAGTGTTGGTCACATCTGCTCTTATATTTTTTTTTTTTTTTTTCTTACGGGAATTAGCCAACCCGGGCACAGGTCAAACGACCCACAACGGAGCCTGGGGGGCGAAAAAAAAGGAACAGAAAGAAATTGAAAATATAGAGAAAAAGGTTATACTGTATTAATCTACACCATCAAAGGCCATCAAAACAGTCTATGGTATATTATTCCAAGAGTTCACAACAGGGTTGGCAATATTGTTCACCTCATTAAAAAGCTTTTTGTTTTTTCAATAAAACCCACCAAAAAGTAGGCAGAAGGGGTTTTTCAAAATATAGATTACCCATTAAATAACTTGTTTTGTACAGTACAGCACAGTACTGCATTACCTCTCAATACTAGTAATATCACGGTTGTCAGATTTTAAAGCTGAGCGATTATGGTACTACTGTAGTTAGGAAGTCAAAACTGCATGGTTGCGGGTTGTTTGGTTTAACCCTTTCACCGCATCAGCCAATTTCGGTGGTATTCCCCAACAAGTGCCCAAATTCACTAAAAAATAAAAATGCTTACATTAACGTTTAAACTACCTTTTTTTTTAATGAAAAAAGTGTGAGGAATCCACATTTAACAATTGAAAAGTTATAACGTAATAATATCAAGGGTAAATTTACGATTCTGTGGGGAATTTTTTATTTTTATTTTTCCTGTGTCCATAATAATGAGCAATATCGTTAAAGTAGATATGTCAGATAGCGTAAACTGCAACGTAAATAGTTTATCTTCCATTGAAATCACTCGAAAATTGTGACCAAGTCCTAGGTTGCTGATCTGACTTTCTGCCTTATTTACACACAATTGCAGGGTCTCAATTGTTTCTCTTAATATTAACAATGCAACATGCTGTATATCGTTTCTCACTCTTGATTTATTTTTTCGTTAGTGAATTTATTTATGGTTATTACTATTAGTATTTTTATTTTTTGGTTATAATTTTTATATATTTTTAATATTTATTATTAAATTGGCCGAGTTTCTGATTAAATACATCAGAAACCAAACATCTAGACCCCTAACTTTCACTAAATTAACCTACCTTAACCTAACCCCTGGCAGTGTGACATGCCTCACGGCCCCAGACAGCTCGCGGTGGGAAAGGTATGGTGGGTGGAAATTTATTGATCTAATTTCTTAGGCCACAGCCGCATAGAGCGCAGGCGGGTGCGGAAGACTTTGCAGCATTGTAACCCACAGATGTGGCCGCACTAGCAGTGGGCGCAACCTGGCAACAACAAATGCCCGCTCTCAGTGCGGCCGCGGCCTTAGGCGTTCCTCACTTGTGCAATTTTTCTGAAAGAAACACGTTTCCAAGAGGCTTCAAGGGTTGAGGAAAGTATATATGAGGTACAAACTGCCTAAAAGTAAGTGCTTCTATATGATTTGAAGAAGTGGTAAACCAAATAGGTATTATTTTACTTTACGGCATAGCGCGCCCAAAGTTATAAACTACTGAAACATTTCGATCTCCCTATTCTGTGCATTTTGAACCCATTTATATATACCATTCGGTAATGAAAAATAGCAACACAATTGAATTTAATCGATTTTACGTACTTTTCAGTCTTCGTCTGTGAGACGTTTTTGGCGTAATATTGATTGATGTTATCCAGTCGTGACCAACAATGTATCAATATCATCCCGCAATTTTTTTTCGACCAATCACATTTGGATGTTTTCAAAGGAAGCAGCCTGGGTATGGATTTGAATTTCAATGACCAGTGTGACAATGGCCATGGTTGAGGTTGGGTGTCAATCGTACTCCTAAAATTATTTTAAGTTTATTACCGAGTTTTAGAAGAAAGACGATCATTCTATCCAATTCTTAAGTAATCACGGTGTTCTCCCTACGTCTGTTGAGTGCCCGCACTGTAAGTTACCTTGTAAATATAGAAAGGACAAGAACCAGTGGTTCTGTAATCATTCAAGGAGGATCGTGCTACACTTGTGCCACTCTAAGAAGGGTCCGACGAGGAGGTCAATAACCCTGAAACTATCCCTGGTCCTTCCACTTCTAACTAAGGTATTGTACTTTAGGACATGGTGCACCCCAAAGTTTTAGAGTACTGAAACATTTCGGTTAGGTTAGGTTAGTTTAAGCTAGGCCTACCGGGGTCCGGTTAGGTTAGGTTTCGTTAGGTTAAATGACTGGTTTTTGTTTTCTCCCCCACCCAAAAACCCCCTATTTCCCACTCTCCCCTATTATTGTTGGGGGGCAAAAACTATCCATTTCCGACAACAATGAAGGTCAGATTCGTTTAAAACACATCAAAATACAAAGGAAAAACATATTGGTCAACCCATAAGGTCTCATGACCTATCGTAAAAATTTACCAACGAATAATAACCGAATAAAGGACTATGGTCAACAACCCTGTTATGAGGACGGTACTCTGATCTGATTTGGAAATGTAGCTCGTCAAATTTAACTTACTATGCTTTCTTTAAAACCACAAATCCCCTATAATACCCTATGTGGACCCCAGGTAAGGAGTATTACCTTGATACTTTTCTCCAACCAATGTGATCATAAACCCAAACCAAAATACAACTTACTTGAATAGCTCTGGTATGAATGTTATCTCGTTTAGGTCCATTGTAGATTATGGAGTGTATTTTTCTGTGAATATTATTGCAGCTAGATTCCTTTTCTTTTTTCAGAACGACTAATAATGTTATAAGACAATTGTTGGGGCTGTCACACGTGTGCCATCATCGTCGTTAACCACAATAATGAATACATTGAGAAAATCTGTACCTTTAGGATTTCGATTTTTATGGCAAATCACTGTGGAAATCTGAAAGTAAAGTTAAAAAAAATAAATGTTTAATAATCTTATTTAACCAAGTCCTCTGAATATTTCCTTAAATATTCTCTACTCACCAGAGTGAAAATACAGCGAGAAAATTCAAATACTGTATACTGTGACTATATTTAATATGCAAATTTTTCTGCAGATGTTAAAAGTTATATCAAGGAAAGGAAGGTAAGTCAACTATTATACAATATCTGAAAATAAGGATAAAATAATTGAGGGAGAAAAAAATAAACTACAAAGAACAAACTGAGGGAGGAATCAGACATACGAATTATTGTCAAGGTTTTATGGAAAATCTTGAGACAGCAGTAGTTGAATATATATTCCAGGAAAAGGGGGGCGGGGATGTACAGTAAGTCTACATGAAGGAATCACAAATCCACGAGAGCCACTAAAAGAAAATAGGCGTACTCTTTTTCTCGAAGACGAATTGCAAGAATAACAGGTGGAAATATTTGTTTGGTTTCTAGATTGTCAAGCTCCAGTTTCCTCTTCCCATGTCCATAATGAGACAAGGGTTTAAAATAGAGATTTCACAGAGCAGGTGACAGCAGTGATTGACACTCAGTCGCTTTGGGTTACCCGGAGTTGAGTATACCATAAGTCAGTGATTAACGAAGAGTGTGATTTATTGTGGTAAACAAGGCTGAGGTTGAATGTTAACTGAACAAATCTTACAGTGAAGTAAGTGGTGTACGTATTAATCGTTTTTAAACAGTGTTTTATTTGCCATGGCAATGTATTCGACTGAAAGTTTTGAAATCTCTAATAGCCGCCATTACCTCTTGTGAAAAAATTCGAACAGAACAATCGCGTTGTTTTGATGGTCAGCCTCGCTAACGCTAATTACAGTACCATATAAAAAAAACCCTGCAAAGAACAATTAAAAGTCGAGGCGATAAAAGTTAAATTGTAAAACAACAATGGGATGAACCAGAGCTGTGATTGTTTGGGTATCAAGTGACAGTCGTAACAAGATATTATACAAACCGTAAGTAAATATGTTGTTGTTAATATTGATGTGTGTAATTTTTTGTATATACATTTAGTATCAGGTGAAATCGGGAGAAATAATACTAAAAAACCGATATAAGCAAATTTACTCATCGGATGAAAACATTCTGGGTAAAATTGAAGGCGGTTGCTTAAACGGCCAAACCACACATTAAAAAGAAATATTGAAGACCAAAACGGTATGATAGTTGGTTCTGCTTGCTTGGGAAGGCAGACGAGCAGAGGCTTAGTTTATAACGAAGATATTGTATAGCTAAATAGCACTCAAGCCACAGAAGTGTACAGACTGTCTTACCTAATTTAAACAAGAAAAGACACAACTGATTTAGCTGTCATACTTACGTGTTAATCATTTAAAAATTTAATTCACTAAACAAGTGTGCATATATCAGCATTATTAAGATGAACTTTATACAGTACATGTAGATAAAACAAAAATATGAGTGAGCCTATGAATATATTTTCCTAAAATTGCAGGACTATCTGTAAAATTCCAGGATTTCATTTGTATATAACATTAAAAAAAATGAAATATGCGATTTTTTTAAACACACGTAATAAACATTCCATACAATTCTAAATCCGACTTGAGTAGTACGGGGACATTGAAAAAATACACAGATTATTAAATGGTTATTCTGTATATTAAAATCTGGCCATTCTTTTTTTTTCTGAATAACACTCTCACTTGAACAAGTATCAGATGAAATATTACTGTTAATGTATCTGTCATCTCTCACGTTTTAGATATTTACTTTAAAAGTAATGTGAAGTGATAAGAGTACACCGTTGACTGATATAACAACCCCAGTATTGTTAAAATGACCGTAGTGACACTTGGGTAGACAGAAAACAGATGAGGGGCATAGCTGAGAAGACATCATTTGAAGGACACGGCCGGGTAGACATCAGAGTTGACAAAGGCGTAGGGATCTGGGAGGAAGTGAGCTCCTGGTAGGCCAGAGGGAGGCCTGGAGCGCATACGCCCACTCCGGTTAGGGGGTTTATTAACACTGTTCAGTCTGTTGGTGCGGTGGCCCCTTTGATTTCCCTGCCTCCTGCGACCACCAGATCTGTTTCTGGCTCCGGTGAGATACCTCCCGTAGGAAGGCCCAGCGTGGGTATCTGTGGCCAGGCATACGAGTACAACCACCACCAACACACACATCAGCCTCATCTTGGCTGAAGTTCTTGACAGTCCTCTCTGTCTGCAAAAGATTCGTTTATTAGGAGCAAAGGGAGATTAGCCACCCAACTTTATTTAACCTAATGATTAAACGCCCTAGGGTTGCCTGAAGCAGTTAGGTTAGCGTGAGGGTAATTATTATTAAGGTGAAGTAAGCTGGGGTGCTATTCTTTATATGATCCGATTATTAATATTCTCCCACGTTATATCAAAAGTAAATTGTGGAATATATAATATATAAAAAGTGGTTTAATTTACAACACCCGCTGAATAAAACTCTGAAGTACCCTACTTGCTTTATCATACAGTAGTAATTTCTTGGGAACTCATACTAACCAAAAATACGTGCTTAAAGACCTTAGTAGTTAAAACATAGTAATGTATCATAACGTCACCACTTACAACTTGTTAAAGCGTCGTAATGCAAATATAAAACTTGTTACATTACAGTACTGCAATGCATTATAGCACCAAGAGACAGCCACGTGAAAATCGTTGTATATTTGTGTTTATAATCTGCACCTATTGTCACAATAAACTTTCTGAGTGTGAGTACAAAATAGAACATAACTTGAATGTATTTAACAATGCGTCCGCCGTTTTAAGAGCAGCAGAGAAATTCTGCTACCTACGTTCACTTTACTTTATCCTCTTCGCTGCTGGATAAAGTGAACATGGGTAGTCTATTCCCTTTGATGCTGCTAAAATTGCGGACGCGTTGATAAATGTTCTGTTGGTCAGAGGTTACCGAGCATGATCTTCACAACCAATGTCTCGATTGTCTAAGATTTTCGAAATTATCTTAAACTCCCGTTTTCTCCGTTACCTTGAACGCTTTTCTCTTTTGTCGGATCACCAACATGGCTTTCGCCAGGCGAGATCTACTGGTGATCTCTCTTACTGCACCCATCTTTGGTCATCCTCTCTTAGGGATTATGGTGAAACTTTCGTCGCGGTCCTCGACATCTCCAAAGCACAAGTCTTTGCTTTCTAAACTTCCCTCTTATGGTTTCTCTCCCCCACTGTGTTCTCTAATATCTCGCCTCCTTGAGAACCGATCCATGGCAGTTGTCGTCAAGGGATCGACCTCTCGCTCCTTCTTTACCAAAGGCGTTTTACCGCTATGCAAAGTCGAAATTAAAAACGCGAGTAGGAGTATCAGACCTGAGGCTTGAAGATGGTAGTTACGCAGAATCTGACCAGGATAAAGCTGAGGCATTGAACAGCCTCTGTTCCTTGGTGTTCACAAGAGAGGATGCGATTAACCTTCCTGCGTTTGAGGACAGACAGTTCGACACAGCAATGACCCGCATTGTGTTCACAGAAGAGGGTATTAGAAATAAACTGTCAAAGCTAAAGGTCCATAAGAGTCCCGGCCCTGACATGGTGCATCCCAGAGTGCTAAGAGAGTTGTGCAACGAGCTTGCTGAGCCCCTGAAGATCCTGTTTTGTAAATGCCTGGATGAACAAAAGGTCCCCAGTGACTAGAAAGTGGCTTATGTGAGTCCTATCTTGAAGAAGGGCGATCGTCACTCCACGAACAACTATAGACCGGTGAGCCTGACCAGCATGATATGTAAAGTACATGAGAGTATTGTCAGAGATGCCGCGATGGAACATCTACGACGAAACAACCTTGTAAAGGATTGCCAACACGGTTTTATGCCGGGGTGCTCCTGCTTAACACAATTGCTCAAGGTATTGGATATTTGGACCCATATTCTGGAACGTGGTGGTAATATCGACAATATACACCTAGATTTTGCCAAGGCTTTCGACAGTGTACCCCACGAAAGGCTGAAAATCAAACTGGAAGGGTACGGAATTCGGGGAATGCCCTAGCTTGGATAGAAGCCTTTCTACATGACCGCAAGCATTGTGTGGTGATTAATGGCACGAAATCATCATCTGTACCTGTCACAAGCGGGGTACCACAGGGCAGTGTATTGGGCCCGCTGTTGTTTGTTTGTTTCATAAATGATATGCCTGACGTTGTACACTCCTCCATACAAATGTTTGCCGATGACGCCAAGTTATTTCCGGAAATCATGAACCAAGCTGACTGTGAAGAGCTGCAGAAGGATCTCTGTGAGCTCCAAGAATGGTCGAAGAAATGGCTGCTGAGATTCAATGTCACGCAGTGCAAGAGGATGCACCTGGGGCGTACCAACGATAAGGAGGCGTATCATATGTCCCAACGGGGTGAAGAAACTGCACTATTTGAGACAATGTGAGAAGCACCTTCAGTAGGTGTGTATGTTGACAATGAGCTGAAGTTCTCGGGCCATTGCGAGAAGAAAGTAAATCAGGCAAATAAATTATTGGGTCTTATAAGAAGGTCGTTCAAATATCTAGACGGTCCGTCCCTCGTAACGATCTTCAAGAGTGAAGTGTTTCCCCATCTGGAGTACTGTCACCCCCGACTTTTCCCCGAGAAATGCTAGGGACTGTCAGTTGGTTGAAAATGTTCAAAGGAAGGCCACCAGACTGGTGCCTGCACTTCGGCACCTCAACTACCCTGAGAGATTGGAGCGCCTGAACTTGCCTAACTTATACTACAGACGGGCAAGGGGAGACCTAATTGAGGTGTATAAGCATCTCAAGGGGCACTACTCAGTTGAGTGTCTTTACTTGGAGCTGACGGACGGTCGCCCCACAAGGGGTCACAGCTCAAGATTGAAGAGCCGCAAGTCCAGAAAACTGTGAGGGCAAACTTTTTCGGAGTGAGAGTTGTGAACTCTTGGAACAATCTACCAGAAAGTGTTGTGACGGCACCGAGTGTGAGCTCTTTCCAGACCAGACTTGACCAACACTGGAGCAGGTTCAGATACATTCAGGAGCCGGTGCATGCCCAGTGCTTGCCAACAGTGCGTAACAGAGACGTGACCGATCGCCCAAGCGGCTAACGAGCCCATCAGTGGTGAAGAGGATAAAAGTAAAAAGTTGGTGTCCCACAGGGTTCTGTTCTTTCACCTACTCTCTTCCTTCTCTTTATAAATGATATACTTCACACTACGACTAATTCTATCCATTCTTATGCTGATGATTCTACTCTTCACCCTTCTTCACATTTTTCCCTTCCCCCTAATTCTCAAACTAGATCTGTTTCTAGAGCTGATACCATTTCATCTATCAATGTGGATCTGTGCAGCATCTCCGAATGGGGAGGTAGAAACTTGGTTAAGTTCATTAGTAATAAAACTCAGTATTTACCAATTACACTTTCCAAATTCGATGATCGCCCACCTGTTAGATTGCCAACCCGGGGATAATTAATGGCCGCGTCCATAGTCTGTTTATTAGCGAGGGTGACAAGGGGGGATAGAGACGTCCACACAGCGTGACGTCTGAGCCGGACTGATACACCGCTGCCAAACCGGCACATACCCCAACACCACCAATCACATTTCAGGACACAATCATTCTGCTAAGTTCTGAAATAGATGTGCTAGGTCTCGCCATTTCCTCTAATATGTCATGGAAGCCACACTGTGAATGTGTGGCCCAGACATTCACAATATAGCTAAAGCTACCCCTGAAAGCTGGGAATGCTGTACAGATGCCGTAGTCTCTTCATTCCTGAGCAGTTCCTTCAAGTATATAAGGGATTCATTCGTCCTAACTTGGAGTACTGCTCTCATATCTGGGGTGACTTCTCTGACCAACTGTTATATAGGGTGGAATCAAAGGCATTTCGTCTTATTAACTCTCCTCCTTTAGTTGATAATCTTTCTTCCCTTTCTCTTTGCCGCAATGTTGCTTCACTCTCTCTCTCTTTTACAGGTACTTTAACGGACAATGTTCGGTGGATTTGGCATCCTGTGTACCGCCGGCAAGGCCGTGTGCTCGTAACACTTGTCTTGCCCGCGGTGCCCACCGTTTCTCTGTGGCTGTCGGTCACACTAGAATAGCCCGTTGTAGTACATCCTTCTTTCCTCACACAGCCAAACTGTGGAATGCTCTGCCTTCTTCTGTTTCCATACTCATACAATCTGTCTCACTTTAAAAAGCTGATTTTCCGGCATCTTCGTGGTGTAGATTAATATAATCTTTTTCTTTTCTAATTTTAGTTTCTTTTTCCTCGTATTTTTTCGCCCCATAGGCCCCGTTGTGGGTCGATGACCTGTGCCCTGGTGGGCTATTCTCCGTAAAAAAAAAATAAAATAAAAATAAGATTATATATACAGTATACTGTAGACTCGTAAGTGTGTTCCTTCAGATCATAATGATATACGATTATAAAATAAGATAAATCCGTATGTCTGTGAAAAAATAGGAGTAAATTAATAACACGTTAAGGCCATAAGCATAAGAGTCCCATTGTATAATTATATGCCATTTAATTTTCTCAAAGTAGTTTCATAACCAGCTAGCCACGTCTTTTCAATGATATCTGAGAATACAGTGACTATTAACGGCTTACGTAACTGTTGAGTTGCTCTTGATATAACTTGTACGATGGCTCCAAAATTTGATTACAAATATATGATGATAGTTTTGTTTTGATAACTTATCTAATAACTCAGCGTTACAATACCTGATTTGATTAATACAGTGGCTCTTATTACGATAAGTTAATTGTGTACTACGATGGCACTGAATATTGCGATGACTTCTGTATAGTACAATAACTTATAACAACAAAGACGATAACTGGCTGTAACATACCAGCTGAAGTGCCACCCAGACGACCCGTGGGAGGGAGTGTGACGCCCCAAACCGCTCTAGCGTTGTGTATTTATCTTGCTTCTACTATTGCTACATGTCGCCAGCTAAGTGTTGAGTCAAGTTTCTCCTATCTCACGTATCTTTCGATGTTCAGTTTAGCGGACTGTACATAGTTCAACTAGAAAGCGGCACACATGTATTGGAAATATATGAGATGAATAACGGAGACAGGGAGGGGGGGGGGGACTTGAAATTGTCATGTTATACATGTTGTCATAACTTTATTTTTGTATCGCCTAAAGAATGTGAGACATGCTGTCGTCGTCAGCCTCAACTTTTGTGTTTGCTGCCTCTGGGTCACACCCACTTCCACGTGTGAATGGGGGAACTAAACATTACCGATGGTGAAATGAAGGCTGTTGGGTGCCTCTTAATGTATCGAAGGCTGCATCCCCAGTTTTTTCGCACTGCCTTTAACGGGTCGTTAGACTCAGGTAAGACCCAATCCGCTGAATTTTGTATATGACCCTGCGGTGCTGAACCATATCAAGGATTGTATACAGTGTGAGAGTGCTCACCCCAATGGGCGAACACTCACCCCCGAATGTGTTGGCGGTTGCTAAGTAAACAAAATAATTGGGAGGCAAGGATTAAAGGGAGGAAGACGCACATTTCGGTGAATTCTATTTTTTTTCTTACGCACTTTTTTACCATCTGCAATGGGACGCAGTTACTGTACAGTTAAAAACTGCTTCAGTAACTCAAAAAGGAACAAAAACCTATTTTTCTTCCGATTTCAGAAGATTCCAGAGAGGTGAATCGTAAAGCTACTTTTCAATGGTGACTGTTGGCTGTTCATTAGTTCTTATGAGTTCTTTATTTGTTGATAAAGTTCGACTCTTCAGAATTGCTATTTAACATCAGAGTAACCAGCTCTACCTCCCACCCAGGAAGAGGCGAGCGCCGTATAAACAATGACATTTCTAACCACACCCTGCAAAATACAGTGTATTTAGCAAATGCTGCAGCTGCTGAGAATGGACGGGGACCGGAGTTACTACCAAGAGCAGAGACGTTACCGAGAACAAATTCCGGCTTGAATGTCATGTTCACTAATACTGACACCTTCCTTGATAAGAGAGAGGAATTTGAAACACGACTGAAGGTACACCAACCCGATATAGTAGGAGTTGTAGATCTGTTGTACAAGAATAGGAGAATCAACCCGGAGGAATGTGAGTTCAGTATTGGCGGATATGGCTTATTTACGAACCGTTCTTAAGAAACTTGCAAGAGGGGTGTGGTTATCTACGCTAGGCAAGACTTTAGAGCCAGCCAGGTGAGGGTACAGGGAGAGGATGTTTTAGAAGAGTCCAAGTGGTGTAAAATTAATTAAAAGGAGGGGACGCACTTATTATTGGGTGTATCTACAGATACCCAAACTGTAGCTTACCAAACCAAAGGAACTTAAGAGCCTTAATAGATTACGCAGCGAGGCTCAACCCGAGCCACCTCCTTATCATTTGGGACTTTAATTACGGCGACATCGACTGGAAAAACGAGTTCACGCCAAATGACTTCGGTAATCCCGCTACTCTTTTTGTAGAAACTCTGATAGATAATTTTCTGTTCCAACATGTGAAAGACCCGGCGCATTACAGAGGGGAGCAAACACCCAAGCCACTGGACCTCATCATAATAAACGAGGAGCGAATGGTGGTCAAACTGGAACACCTAGCCCCAGGTGACACCAGCCACCATGTAATGTAGTCCTTCAGATTAACTTTTATTCAGTTCACGACAAAACCAGTCCAAAGTGCAAATATTACAAGGCAAATTACGACAGGATGAGGGAGGAGATGAGGGGCATCCACTGGCCTGACTCACTAAGGCCTAAGAACGCTGACACTACGCTAAATATCATAGCTAGTAAAGTGAACCATTTGATCCAGAAATATATACCCAAGACCAAACCCAGTGCCTCTAGGAATACAAGGAGACCGCTACACATGAACCATGTAGCGGTCGACAAAGTTAAGAAGAAAAAACAGAAATTCAAGGCGTGGGTTAGGTCAAATGTTGAGTAGGACAGGAGGACATATGCAAGAGCCAGGAACCAAGCAAAGTCAGAGTGTAGAAGGGCTGAAAAGGAGTTCTAGAGGCTGGTTGCAAGCGAGGTTAAGTCAAACCCGAAGGCGTTTTATCACTATGCAAAGTCCTAATTAAAAACGCGAGTAGGAGTATCAGACCTGAGGCTTGAAGATGGCAGTTACACAGATCCTGACCAGGACAAAGTTCAGGCATTGAAAAAAAAAATTCCTCGGTGTTCACAAGAGAAGATGCGAACAATCTTCCTGTGTTTGAGGACAGACAGTACGACACAGCACTGACCCACATTGTGTTCACAGTAGAGGTTATAAGAAATAAACTGTCAACGCTAAAGGTTCATAAGAGTCCCGGCTCTGACATGGTGCATCCCAGAGTGCTAAGAGAGTTGTGCAACGAGCTTGCCGAGCCCCTGAAGATCCTGTTCAGTAAATGCCTGGATGAACAAAAGGTCCCCAGTGATTGGTAAATGGCTTATGTGAGTCTTATCTTCAAGAAGGGCGATCGTCACTCCACGAACAACTATAGACCAATGAGCCTAACCAGCATAGTATGTAAAATACTTGAGAGCATTATCAGAGATGCCGCGATGGAACATCTACTACGAAACAACCTTGTAAATGATTATCAACACGGCTTTATGCCCCGGCGCTCCTGCTTAACACAATTACTCAAGGTACTGGAGATTTGGACCCAAATTCTGGAACAAGGTGGTAATATCGACAATATTTACCTAGATTTTGCCAAGGCTTTCGACACTGTATCCCATGAAAGGCTGAAAATTAAACTGGAAGGGTACGGAATTCGGGGAAATGTCCTAGCGTGGATCAGAGACAATCTCCATGACCGCAAGCAGTGTGTGGTGATTAATGGCAATGGCACGAAATCGTGTGTACCCGTCACAAGCGGGGTAACACAGGGCAGTGTATTGGGCTCGCTGTTTGTTTGCTTCATAAATGACATGCCCGAAGCTGTACATTCCTCCATACAAAGGTTTGCTGATGACGCCAAGTTATTTTGGGAAATTAAGACCAAGCAGACTGCGAAGAGCTGCAGAAGGATCTCTTTTAGCTTCAAGAGTGGTCGAAGAAATGGCTGGTTAGATTCAATGTCACGAAGTGTAAGAGGCTGCACCTGGGACATACCAACGGTAAGGAGGCGTATCATACGTCTCAACGGGACGAAGAAACTGCATTAAATGAGACTGAATGTGAAAAGGACCATGGTGTGTACGTTGACAATGAGCTGAAGTTCTCTGGCCATTGCGAGAAGGTAACTCAGGCAACTAAATTTTTAGGTCTTATAAGAAGGTCGTTCAGATATCTAGACGGGTCCGTCTCTCGTAACGATCTTCAAGAATGAAGTGCTTCCCCGTCTGGAGTACTGTCACCACGTCTGGTCCCCGAGATATGCTAGGGACTGTCAGTTGATTGAAAATGTCCAAAGGAAGGCCACCAGACTGGTGCCTGCACTGCGGCACCTCAGCTACCCTGAGAGATTAGAACGGCATAGCTTATACTACAGACGGGCAAAGGGAGATCTAATTGAAGTGTACAAGCAACTCAAAGGACACTAATCAGTCGAGTGCCCTTACCTGGAGCTGGCGGACGCTTGCTCCACAAGGGGTCACAGCTCAAGGTTGAAGAAACCGCAAACCCAGAAAACTGTTGAGAGGTAACTTTTTCGGAGTGAGAGTTGTGAACTCTTGGATTAATCTGCCAGAGAGTGTTGTGACGTCACCGAGTGTGAGCTCCTTCAAGACCAGACTTGACCAACACTGGAGCAGGTTCAGGAACCGGTGCATGCCCAGTACTTGCCAATAGTGCATAACAGAGACGTAACCGATCGCCCAAGCGGCTGACGAGCCGATCAGTGGTGAAGAGGATAAAAGTAAAACTTAAAGTATCAATAGGAAATATAAAATTAGCAGGATACTGTTTTATTGCCGAAAATATAAGGTTGGAAGTTTTACGTGTGGGGGTCATTATTCGTTTTAGGACCGCCCACTAGTTTGTCGGCGAAATTATGTTTTTCATATACAAATATTTCGATGTGTTTTGAATGGATTTCACCTTAATTTCTTTGGTAAATTCATGAAAGCCTTACCAACCTAACCCAAATTGTGTGGTAAAAGAACCCAACATACGAACCAAACCTGACCTAACCTATCTTTACCTAACTTAACTTTACCTACCTAACTTATCTTTACCTAATCTAACCTAACTTTACTTAACCTATCTTTACCTAAGCTAACTTTACTTAACCTATCTTTACCTAACCTAACTTTACTTAACCTAACTTTACCTAACCTAACTTTACCTACCTAACTTATCTTTACCTAATCTAATCTAATTTTACTTAACGTAACCTTACCTTTGTCTTGACAATTTTGTGTCGTTTCGTGAAACACCAAACGGCTAAGAGGTAGAATATAACTTGATAATATGTCGCACAGTACCATGTACGCAATGGGTTTAACGTGTTTCATGCACGGCGGCACCGCTTGGCGACTCCACCTTTGCAGAAGGATGAAAAATTTAACATTAAGTGAGCCATCCTCCTACGGTATAGAATCCCTGATCATACCTTACAGGCGACACAAACCATCCCTGCCTAACCTATTCTTTGAGTGTTTAGGTAAAGTTAGGTTCGGTTAAATTAGTTAATGTTTAGCTTTGTTAGGCATGGCTTAATTTTGTGATATGTATCCGCACTGTCCCTAAGAGGCAGTGGTGGGTAGAGTCCGGTAGACCGAACTGAGGTAGAGGGCTGGGATAGTGCCACATGAAATTAGTAACTACACCAAATGCGGGCTGCCGCTGATAACATGTTTACACTGTTAGGGAGGTAATGTGACCATATAAGGCTGGGTATGAGCCACACCTGTGCCGGATGTTTTACTGCTGGAGGTGCAGATAATGTCAGGACGCTAGACCACAGTATCTTTTTGTGTAGTTCTCTTACTACGTGTTAATTAACGAGGGAAGAAACACTGAATAGTCTGTAGGTCACAAAGAAGGAAGTTTCATCATCGAAGTTCTTCTTGTCGCCGAAACTGTTGGAAAACTCACGCAAGAGCAGCCAGGATTTTTTTGGTAATTATGTGAGCGCGACCTAGTTTTTATGACAAACATTTCTACATCATGACTGCGTGCACGTGGGGCTTTATAATCTAATGGTAATGAGGCTGACATGATTTAGTGTTTTTTTGATGTTTTTCAGTGGCTTAAATTTTAAAATGTCACACGGACTAAAGAGAAGTTGAGAGTCAGCTTACCATGAAAGGTGTAGTAGGCAGCCCATGGCGCAAGCTGGCCGAAGGCGAGGGCGTCAATATCTCTGTGGGTCATTCGGTTAGGATAGACTTTCATAGTGCTAACTAAAGTAGATAAAAAAGCGAACTCAAACTTGATTTTGCAACACGTAAACGTACACCTTTTCAATTTTTCGTGAAATATTTAACACACACACACATGCACACACTGTATTATTAGTATACCCTTCCAGATTGTAAATGACAAGAAAAATAAGCATGTAAATAATTAAACCCTTTCGCTCAGGAGAATCATCATGAAGCCCTCGGGTCTAGGTACACCTCTGGAGAGTTGTGCTCCTCACTATATAGCAAAACCGGAGATAATCTGTAAAATTCCCGATCTTATCACAGCAATACGTGAAGGAGCGCACTATGGAGGAGTTAGTATGGGAGGGAGAGCACAAGACAGACAGGGACACAAAGTAGCCTAGTAAGAGTGTACAGTACTGTACAGTACTAGTGTGGCTGGGACTCAAATTTTTTACAAACTTAATCAAGTTTCATCTGTTAACAACTTTTTTTTTCCCAAGACATCATTGAAGGTAATTGTAGATAATGACGATGAAGATGTTAAATTTTGTGAAGATGCAAGACGTCCCTTGACTGATGTTCATGCACGGGAATCCAAGGTATCTTTATATCTTGCTGGAATCCATTAGAAGTCCTTGCTTAACATAATTATGTCTATAATATGGTAAAGTCTAAACATGGTTTAATAGGTGGGACGCATTCGCACTGCCTCACTTTTCTTGAGCTGTACGAAATATCCCAAGTTACATTTGTACTGCATCATGTTATATTTCGTTTGAACACTTCTTGTGAAATTAATGGTTATTGCCACAGTTTGAAATATGCAGTGTAGTATTGTATGTATGTATGTATATATATATATATATATATATATATATATATATATATATATATATATATATATATATATATATATATATATATATATATATATACATATATATACTTTCAGGATGTAATACAGTAAAAGGGCATTGTTGAAATGCTGAAAAAGTAACAAACGGGGCTGATAAACTAAAATGCATTATAATGTGTTTTATTGCAACATATACAATTATATTATTGCCTACAATGGATACGTAAGGTTTGTAGGTAGATACATAACTTTAGAATTATAAATTAGAATGTATTTACATACAGGGATGTGCATTAATTTGTCCTCATATATGACTGTTGTAAAGACAGTTTCATATACAAATGAACCAAGAATAAGACATTTAGTGACTACTGTATAATGGTCACCAAAAATATCAAGTCTGCTTGGTGGAGAATGTTATTATGGGTGGCCAGCTGGAAGACGCAAGGCTCCTCCACCTCTCCACTCTCACCAATTCAACATCATCATTCCAAGATTACAGAATTCACCTCGTAGTTTTACATTGTGTCTATAGCAACTTGCAATGCCCCAAATTCATAAACACTTTAAGAAAGACTCATTAGGCTACATTGTTCACCCCATCAGTCAAGGTACTATGACATTACCCTCGGTTTAGTGTCGTCTGCTGTTTTGTGAACATTTCTGGATTTTATTTTATTTTATTTTTATCATATTGACATCTTCGTACTTTCATAAGGTGAAAGATTAGAAAGGTTTATTGTTGTGTTGATCCTCTGTAAGCAGGAGCATTTCTTACCACAGTTCAGTGAGACTAAATATAATCCTAAATTAGTACTTAATATAACAAGACCCAATAACAAATTTTCGTAAACATAAATTTTTAAAGTTTGGTTCATTGTGGATATGCCAACTTTTGCCTGGTACGCCAGTTTAATCAATTACTGATAACACGAGTAAAACCGAGCACGGTGAAATGAAAATGTAAGTAAATGAACTTCAGGAAACGACAAAAAGTGTGAACGGTACAGGTATAGCTCATGACTGCTGTGTGCTTGTTTCTGTATGTTGTCTATTTTTGCCAGTTGCTGCTTACAGGACACCATTTATGTTAATGTCATTCTCCCCCGATTCTTGACTAGATTAAATTAAATACATTCGTCACCAGTCGGTATTTTTTCTGTCGACTCTGTAACACTTTCGGCCTGACTTAACCTAACTTGGCCTAAGCATGACGAGGTATATGGCGCCATCTGACACTCACTGACACTCATCAAGATAACAAGGTATATGGTGCCATCTGGCACTCACTGACACTCATCAAGATAACAAGGTATATGGTGCCATCTGGCACTCACTGACACTCATCAAGATAACAAGGTATATGGTGCCATCTGGCACTCACTGACACTCATCAAGATAACAAGGTATATGGTGCCATCTGGCACTCACTGACACTCATCAAGATAACAAGGTATATGGTGCCATCTGGCACTCACTGACACTCATCAAGATAACAAGGTATATGGTGCCATCTGGCACTCACTGACACTCATCAAGATAACAAGGTATATGGTGCCATCTGGCACTCACTGACACTCATCAAGATAACAAGGTATATGGTGCCATCTGGCACTCACTGACACTCATCAAGATAACAAGGTATATGGTGCCATCTGGCACTCACTGACACTCATCAAGATAACAAGGTATATGGTGCCATCTGGCACTCACTGACACTCATCAAGATAACAAGGTATATGGTGCCATCTGGCACTCACTGACACTCATCAAGATAACAAGGTATATGGTGCCATCTGGCACTCACTGACACTCATCAAGATAACAAGGTATATGGTGCCATCTGGCACTCACTGACACTCATCAAGATAACAAGGTATATGGTGCCATCTGGCACTCACTGACACTCATCAAGATAACAAGGTATATGGTGCCATCTGGCACTCACTGACACTCATCAAAATAACAAGGTATATGATGCCATCCGGCATCCACTGACACTCATCAAGATAACGAGGTACGTGGAACCCTAATGCCCGAGACAAATGCCATGTTGTGACGACCAAGGACGACTTAGCAGTTGCCGTAATGCCTCTTTGGAGCCTCCACTAGTAACACTTCTGATGATCACAGCTGATAGATACATGTACTGTAGTAGTAGTCTCAGTGGACTCCATCCAAGAAGACGGGGAATACACCGTAGATTTTCACTAAGTCGGGCGTAGCAAAGGCGTAGGGATCATAGGGAATGCGGGTCTTGGACCTTGAACGACCACCACTACGACGACGAGAGAAGGTCGCTGCCTGAGCGGCTGTGGCCAGGACCAGCACCACCAGGATCACCACACAGACACGGAGGAAGTTCATCTTGGGCTGATGTGTTTACTTGATATTCTCTGGAACAAAAAACAAACATCAAAACGTCATTGTTATGAGGAATGAAAGAAACCTTCGGTAATAATGATGAAATTCAATGAAATTGACTATTCCACCAACAAGAATAGTAACAACATATCCACTCCGTATTCTGGAGGCAAAATTGCTGTTGGCTAATGAGTGGCAGCGTAAAATTAATAACCGAATATGTTCACTTTTATTTCACCGAGTCGGGCTCTAGGAGCTGCTTATAACTTAAACTCTTACACCATACTCGGGAAATCAATATTCCAGAGGTGTAAAGCATAATACATGAGCATACTATCGCTGGAAATACCCATACCTTCTGGAAATAATACAAATCAACAAAAACTGATTAAAACCAATGAAAAGGGCAGAGATTAAAAGATAGTTTTTGTTTGGCTTAAACTGGCCAACCCTGATTTAATTAAGTATACTGTTTAAAGGCTATAATATCCGAGAGTATACTAGCCATAATGTTAGTATATTGATGTTTTTTTTTTGGGGGGGTTATACAGAGGCAACCTTCTCGCGTCTGTTGCAGTATTCCGAGCGTTCTTTGTGACGAACACACATTGAACTGACTCTTGCATCACTGTTGGTGGTGTCTACGCCCACCTGACTCTTATCAGTTTACAACACTCGTTTGGTCAGTTCATAATTACTCTCATTTAGTCAGCTCATATAACTCGCGTGGTCAGTTCATAATACTCTTTCATGTAATTGGATCACTTTTCTCATGATCAGTCCTTAACGCACTTCTGTATTGTTACATCTCAGTGCAATCAGTATTTCTTGTATAGGCTAGTCAGTTGAAAACACTTAAATGGTCAGAACCAAAGACTCGTCTGGATAGGTTGTAACACTTTCTCTCGGGCTCGCTCACGACACACGGGTGATATGAAATTTGTGTAGGTCAGGTTACAACACTCTTGGGTTCAGGGTACAACACACCATTCTCTTTTTACCGAAACGCTTAAAAATTCCCCGCTGTAGAGTGACTCTCCGTAAATCATATTGTGAAGTAGTTTTTTTTTTTGTATAAATTGCTCATTCAGCTTTTGGTGAACTGATCTGTTGATTCATTTTGGATAATAAATTCTACTTGTCTACACCGAAAAAAAATAAAGTTACACTTATGAGAAACTCTCAGTTAATTAAATGAGAAAATCACCAGGAAGTTCCTTTTGTAGAAACACCTTCGAGTTACGGTTCACTTTGCACGTATGAACCATCACAGTAAGCTTTCATATGACATCCACAAGACTACAGAGAGAAGAGAGCTTTCCATCACCTTTACACTCTCGGTTGTTGCACGTGAGTTGGTTCAGGATTGTTAAGGGTGAGCTGCTAACACACTCAACACCCAACACCGTCTGCCTCGCTGGGCGTCGGCATCCTTGTTATATACTCCAAGTTCCCACATCAGAGAACCTTGAGCCCCGGAACGTTTTCTCAGTAAGTGTTGCGGTAAGGCGGTCACTTATTAATATCGCGTGTGGCGACTCCTCGTTTTGTTGACAATGGGACAAGAATCCGGATGGCAGATTATGATCCCCTGACTTTATGGTGCTGCCTTCAGCCAGTGACAAAAACACGTCGCAGTGTGTGATCTCCATGGTGGCAGTTATTAGGACGCTACTTTGTTCCTACAGTATTTCAAGTGACCAAATCTTAACCTATGCAACCAACCTTACTCGCGTTTGAGTAGTATTTTCCCAGCGACCAGTATCCCATGTAATATAATGTTTTTGGCTTCCGGGATAGCCATTACGCAGAATGGAATAAGCAATGACATGTTGATTATATTATGTCCTAATGTGCACTTTTAAATGCGGCGACCACTAATTATGACTGCATCATGATGTAGATGATGGCGAGTCATTTCCTGGGATCTATCATACGAAATGGGTGTAAATGTCTATTCATAAGGTCATCTGAATTACTTTTTCTCAGAATAATGAGAATTAGTTAAAGTCCGATAACAAGAATCGTACATTTTTACTCGTGTTCGTTTATCACTAACACTAGTGGAAATCTCGCATAATATCGAAAGATAAATTATCGTATTTGACTAAGTATGGCTTCTAACACGTACACGTATACTAACTGATTTACATTTTTTGTCTGGGGAATAGCCCACCCGGGAGCAGGTCATCGACTCACAGCGGGGCCTGAGGGGCGAAAAAATAAGAGTAAAAAGAAATTATAAATAGAAGAGAAAAAGACAATATTAATCTACATGCACGGGCTTACATATTTACGCACACGCAGACACGACTGCACATTTTTGTAGGAACGAAAGGCTTGCAAGCACTCACAAGCACCAACACATACAGTATTTGTAACGTTACTTTCATCACGTAAACGGAAGGACTAACTCTACCCCTCCCTCCCTTCCCCTCCTCCGGAGTTCTATTAACACATACCCGAGAGTTGCTTCATGTAACTTGGCCTTTACCTTACGCCTGTGAATTTCCATTTAGATAATTAATGACCGGATCATGTCTTTGTATCAGTCTCCGTTTATTATATGTTGTATTGCCATCCGGCGATGAACTACAGCTAATGGAATATAGTCTAGCAATGAGGACATAATCATGATGTTATTGCCTAACCCTTATATACATATATGAGGATAATCAAATTGTGTTAGTCTTATTTGCGGGTGATAGAACATAGCAGTGGCGCAGTTTAGCGTAGAAGAGAGGCGCCACACCCTCATACTTACCTCAGCTGTTTCACAACTCAGTAGCAAATTTTTTGTAAACGGTACAAGGTTTAAGAACTCAATTATTATCTTTTTTGATGCTGTTCTCATTCTGGGACATTATCTTGTAAAGGTTGAAAGACAAATCTAACATCGATAGCAGTATATATATATATATATATATATATATATATATATATATATATATATATATATATATATATATATATATATATATATATATAGTATCCACAGAGGTTAAACTTCTAAAATCACACAGGTACATCAGGATTTTGAAGATGTTCTAAATAAAGACGAAACCTATGGTGTGTGTAGTAGTAGTAATAGTAGTAGTAGTAGTAGTAGTAGTCGAACGGTTAACTTTACCGATCAAATGGTTTCCGTTTACACCTAAGGTACGGTTGGCCAGTAGATGGTTTGCCCTCCCAATGCGTGTGTGGCTCTTCCTATGATGGCGATCACGCCATGCAAGAAGGGGGGCTTCATATGCATGAGGCATGGAGGTATCACAGCAAATATGTTGAAGGAAATCTGCCGGGACATGGTAGAACCGACCCTCCTTCCATTGGATGGCGAGATCTTCCAACACAGGACTTCAAACACATCTAACGAAGCCCGTGTGGACGTCAGTGCTCGAGGATTCTGGAAAGCGACTTTCTTCGACATCAGGATTTTTGATCCCATGGCCGCTTGTCACCGTAACCTAGCTCTCGATGCTGCACATAGGAGGAATGAGAACGACAAGAGAAGGGCATATGGGGAGAGAATTCAAAACGTTGATCAAGGCAGCTTCACTCCTCTAGTGTTCACAACCTCTGGTGGGATGGGCCCAAGTGCAAGATGTTTCTACGCCAGACTCGCGGAGTTGATCTCCGAACAGAAGCAGCAGCCCAGAAGTTATGTTACAGCCTGGATGAGATGTCGACTGTCCTTCTCTCTCTTCGGTCGGCTTTGCTCTGCCTCAGGGGAACGAGAGCTTCTGCCCCTACTCCGACAACTGCTGCAGATATTGACTATGAGGCGGCTCAACTAATTTAACACAGATAGGATAGCTTCTTATGTATTAGGATATTTAATATTAAGGTAAATAAATGGTGGCGAAGGTGTGGCTATTAGGGGAAAAAAAAAAAAAAAAAAAAAAAAAGTAGTAGTAGTGGTAGTAGGTGTGTGTGTGTGTGTGTGTGTGTGTATTACGCTGAATAGGGATAATTGCGTTTTAGCGATAACTTTTCAGTATATATTTTTTGGGGGAAACTGACTGACCTTAGACGATCATGTCAGATAATCATAATAAATATGAATGAATGGTTTCATACATAGCCTAACCTAACCCTATCATCCTTTTGGTAAATATGGCTAATCTTATGATGAAAAACGACTCTAAGGCTGCATTTACACCAAGCCAGTCAAGTCAAGTTAAGTCACGTCAAGTCATGACTCATCGTGAATCGCCACTCTAATGCACATTTACTCCAATGTATATTCTCAGAAACCATTCCCACCAGATGAGTCAAGTCAAGTCACGTCGCATCATGTCACGTCAAGTCACAGATGGTGTTGGGCCCATTTTCTTCATCAGTCATGCCGAGTCCGCAGTGGTGTGTACATCATGCAGGTTGACGTCCTGATAAATTTAGTTCGAGAGCGTCCTGCTATATATGATCCCACTGATAGTAGCCAACGGGATCGTGATGTCATCCTAAAGAAATTGTAGAATTTGTCTTGATGGTTCACCAAGTCTGGGAATAAATGACTGAAGCTTCCAAAATTGGGTCTTTTGGTGTTGAGTTCATGCATCCAGATTCGGGTCCTCCTCTTGCGTTTACGACGCCGAATCCATAACAAAACAGCTAATTCAGCGAGAGAATATGCGTCCATCCTCCTCGAAACCAGTCTGGGTACTGAGTCCTGATTGACTCATGTTGACTCAGTGTGAACGGCAATGAGTCAAGTCAAGTCAAGTCAAGTCAAATGACTTGATTGACTTGACTTGACTTGACTGGCTTGGTGTAAATGCAGCCTTAATTAAAACGACAAATTATACTATACACAAATTAATTTCCTTTAAGCTGTAGTAATAAAAGAAAAAATTTATCCCCATTCCCTAAAACGTCATTTACTTTTTAAAGTTTAATCGGTGATTATCTCTATTTAACGTTACATATACGGTATGTTGCACGAAAATCTGAGATCAACATTTGTATAATTAAATATTACATAAGTACGATGTGGTATGGTATCCAAATAGTATTTTATTTTTTCAAGAAAAATATTAAAGTAACGTTAATAATTAGGGTTGCATTTGTTAGATTTAGTCAAATAAGGACCGGTGTGAATATTAACTTTTTTTTTACAAACTTTAGCTGAATACCGGATTTGATCGAACGTAACGTACAGCAACCTAACCTAACCTAGAGTCCCTATATAATGCGAATGTTTGTTTTAAAGAGACAAAGAGTGATGGGAGTATATGGATAAAAAGGAGAGTGAGCAATATGAGAAAAGTGAGAGTTGCTCCGGGCAAGGCGTGTCCCCGGGAGCGTTATTGTCAGTGGTGCAGGAAGCGGAAGTGACCACTCGTTGCACACTCATCATTGGAATTCATCACCAGTGGTGAGGGTCGGGAGAGGCTGACCATCTCGTTACCGAAGAAGGAGGAGGAAGAGGAAACACATAAACAAACAGTAGAACACACAAAATACATACTATAGTTCATGGGACAGTTATAATGTATGGAGGAATGCTAAAAGTACTGCATGGCGGTTAATGATAGTGCGGTTTAAATAGCAAAAAGTGGATAGAGAGAGAAGTTCCTTGTAGAATATATATATATATATATATATATATATATATATATATATATATATATATATATATATATATATATATATATATATATATATATATACACTACACTTTTTATGAAGTAAGGTCTTAAATAAGTGCGTATGGATGTTAGTGGCGATGCACTGGTCCATCAACTAGGTAAAGTTATGAGATAGATCTCTGGGCTTCTTTAAATGCCAGAATAACTTCGATTTTAGCATACATCAATGAAAGCTCTTAATATCCGGCAAAACTGCGTGAAATTTTTATTTTTTATTTTTTTCTCAATTGTCATTTATTTGAATATTATATTATTCAGCATTTTTTGTTACAAAATTTAGCAAATCACATTTTCTTTTTTCCCTTTTTGTTGAATAGATTTTCCTTGTCAGGCGTGAACATAACTGTCTGTTTTGTGGTATGAATATTTCCATTCATAATGTCTGCAGCTGCGACTTTTACAGTACATGTTGCACTGAAAAGCAGTGGGAATTTCTCACTACTGTAAGGGAGGACTGATCCATGTAATATTGAATTTATTCAGATAATTTGTTGACACGGATCTTCGATATTTGTATGTAGTATACTGTAAGACATGCAATTCAGAGTTTTTTTTCAGATATGAAATTGATCTTCGAATACTATCCTTGAATACGGACTGTGCCGTACACTGAACTTCTCTACTCCGTTTTAGCGGCCGGAAATTGAACAGATCACATGTCAAAAAAAAAAAAGGAGGAAAAAGATGGCCAGCGGCCCTGAGAAAGAGAGTGAAAGAGCACAACTCGTGATAAAAAGCGGAAGGAAATAGTTTCACGCTCATCACGTAGTACATGAGTTCCATTTTCACTACAGTGACTAGAAA